TCGCATCCTCTCGTTAACCCTACAGGGAGAACGGGGCAAGAAACGGTGATCTAAGGCCCTAACCGCCCCCCCCCTCCCCATCCCCTCCCCCTATCCCAGTTACACAGGCTTCATGTCCTCCTATTAACCCTGTGGAGAGAGGACAAAAGCTAAACTATGATCCTGCTCTGCTTCCCCCATCCCATTCCCAAGCTACATGAGCTTCACATCCTCCTGCTAACGCTGAAAGGAGAGGAGAACAAGAGCTGCTGATGATTGTAAGGCCTTGCTCTGCTTCTCCCCACCCCCTCTGCCAGCCCCATCCCCCACTGCAGCTCCCATAGACTCGTATCCCTCCCATTAACGCTGAAAGGGGAGGACAGGAGCTCTGATGGGTTTTTCTCAGGCTTACTCTGTTTTCTCTCTCTTCCCCCCCCCCTCCCCGCCCCAGCCAATACCAGCTCCACAGCCCTGCATAAGTGCAAAGCATGCATCTGGCTCTGCTAGCACATCGACTGAATGCCCCCTTTCCTCTGAGCTCCACAGCCCTGCAAGGCAAAAAAAAAAAAAAAAAAAAAAACTGATTCCCTTCGTTTTGCTTATTCATTATAAGGGGCTGGTAGTGTGCTTTTTTAAAACGTGTGATCTCTTGTTTTAGAAGCATCTGTGCTTTAAGGTTTTGTCTTCTTCTATGTAGCTCTTGGTAATAATCTCTTGAAGTGCTCCATTTTTGTCCTTAAAGTTCTATTTTATTACCTCTTCTGGATCAGTGAAGGTCGGTTTAACCCTTTATATGTGAAAATCAGCAGTCACTTTAGAAAAAGGTTGCCTTTTTCTTTACTAATTCATGGTTATAATATTTTATTGAGTGAGGGTTTTTTTTTTTCCAGACCAGTCCTGATGCATGCTGAAAGAAGTGTGTGCTTCAGCACTGATTAAAGTCATGTATGAGTTAATGAGAAGCTTGCAGAGTATGTGAAGCAAGAGAAAATCTTTAACCAGCTCTGCTGTTCCTTCTACATACCACAAACTTGTAAGCTGTAACCAGAAGGTGGATTGAATATGTGTGAAATGCTGCAGTAGGAGACTCTTGTAATTGCATCACAGGTGGATGCTCACTCAATTAATGTATTATCATTTAAAAAATACCTTAAAGTTGGGTGGGTTTGGGGTTTTTTTAAAGCGTTTTGTGACTTCGTATTTCAAAGTACATTGAAATCCTTGGATGAAAGAAGCTAGTAGCCTACAAAGTATTATTTTCTGGATTGTTTTTTTATTTTAAACAATATTTTTTTTCCTATGCTAACTGCTTCCCAGATTAATAGATTGATAACACATAAGAGAGTCCCTGGTGCTGGGGGAACATTCCCAGTGGTGTCAACATTCTAGTTGTGGGACTTCTAATTTAAGAAACGTATTGTCATAAGGAATAAGATCAAGGCTGAATCCTGCCTGCATTTAGGTCCAAATATAAGATACACTTTGTGGAAGGAATCCCCAGTGAACACTGAGAGTAATTAAGTAAAAATAAAACCTTTCACTTCAGCCCCCCCCTCATAGATAAGTAAGCGCAAGACTGTTTTCATCCCACCATTTTCATTATATGTCTTGATATTTCTTAATTTTGTATTGCATCTTAAATCCTCAAGTGACTTAGAATTTCTGTGATTTGGGGGTATTTCTAGACCGTATTTTTAAAGAAGACATCTCCCTGTGTCCCAAAAGGAGCTGTTGAGCAGTCATTCTCATAAAAAGGACTGAACTTACAGCTTTGCTTTTCCAAACATGTATTTTTTTTTCCTGGAATTTTCATATTTAATTGAGAATTCCTTTTTCCTTACATTAAGTAAATATTTATTAGTACCAGTTGGATTTTTTTTTTTTTCATCTTTTTAAAAGAACAGAGCTTTATCACCGAGACAGTCACTTCATACTGTATGGAGGAGATGACATTAAAAAAAGGGAGCGAAGGAGAGTTGTCTTGTGCTGGGAACATCAGTGCCATTTTTGGAAAACAATACTATAGGAAATGGAAATGAAAAATACGTTTTATGCTGGTGGGAACTTGTAATGAGGCTAAGAGAGGATTTGATGTCTCAGAAAAGCAATCGTTACAAGGGAAAAAGCGGGACTTTATCATCCATTTGTAAAAGTTCTCTGGCTGAATATCCTTTTGGGGAACTGAAATTTGGCTCAAGTCTGTTTATGAACATCTGTTGAATGGAATTTTTAAAAGGCGCAGATTATAATCTTAGTTTCTGTTGACTGTTTAAGATGATAAAATAAAATAAATGGATCTGCAAGTACAGTTTGTTTTTTTTCTAATAATGAGTTGCATGAATGTTCAGTAGCCTATACTACTGGTTACCTGGTCATATATATTTTTTCCATACATTTTTCTCCTTCGCATGTAAAATACAGCCTTTAGCCCTTTATGTGCTGTTTCATTCCATTTGAATACTTTCCTCCTAAGCTTTCAAGTGTTTTGTGGTTGGTTTTTTTTTTTTTTTGTAACAGGAGGCTCATGGATTTTGGTGTCTCTGACATTTTTTTGCAGAGAAGGCAGCGATACATGTGTGAGGGGAAATTTTGAGAACTGTTGGGTATTCCCAGAACTGTGGCCGTTTGCTTAGATTCACATCCTGCCCACCTGTCTTCTGCTGGGTTTCTGTAAATGCAATCACTTTGTGTCCACTCTCTCTGGATAGTACTACTTCAGCATCTATTTTCTGCAGCGTTTGTGACCTCCTGTTATTCAGGGAGGTCTTCACTGTAATTTTCCCTCCTATTATTTTGCCTCTTTTGCAGCCTGATGTTTTTGCCGTTGTTTTATATTCCAAGCGAGGATGCTGTGAATGCTTCAGCTCAAAATTTAGGTCATCTCCGATGGAGGAAGGAAGACCTAAAAAGTAAAAATAAGATTTCAATGTGCCTTTAAAAGCGCCAACTCTTTTGGAAAAAAACTCATCTGTATTTTGTGGCTGTGTGGACTGGGGGGAACGGAAGGTGCCTTTTTTTTGATTCCAGAATGAAAGCTAAGTACCTTCCTGTGAGTGTGGTTTCTTTCCCATGTGCTTTTCTGGTCTTTTTCATTTTCACACCTGCTTTGAGCTTTAATCACTCAAATTATTCATAGACTTGCCCTGGAAAAAGAAGAGAGTGACCTCTTCCCATCTGGAGTAGATGGATTTACCATCAATAATTGTAAATGGACTTGGATGACTTAATAATGGGGCTTGCGCTTAAAATTTTTAATTCTGTGATTTCATTGCATCTGAAGAATTCTGCTCATGGTCTTTTCCAAACTGATAAGCTGAAGTTATACCATAGACATTTATTCCTTGCCAAATTATCTCTTAGCATTGGGCTCCCACCTACAAAGTGTGATGATCCCCCATGTACTGCTGAGTCATCAAAGACCGCGCGCATCTTTCCCAGGACCAAGCCTGTAAGTTGCTGTCTTCTTGGTTTTTTTCTGTAATTTTATACAATGTCTTTCATGACAAAGAACCTCGAGACAATTTATGAAATCAACAGCCAGGAAAGTCATGCAGTGCCTGTTGGGGGTTGTGTAGTCACATTGATTACAATTTAGCGGTCCCTCAGCCTGAGGGTATCTAAGGGGACGTGGAGCCAACTGCTTTTCAATTCGTGTGCGCTGCTACAAGCACCAAGCTGCAATTGATAGATATCTGTTGCTATTGCCAGCAACTCTACTTTTTCTGGGACTTCAGTGGCTTAATTTAAATTATTAAGAAACTTGTGAATCTGTTTGGTTTGTTTTCTACTCTTCCTAGCAGCTCTCTGCAGTTTTGTATGTACTAAATGTGCTAAGCTTCATCCGGCCTATATGTATAATAAATACTTTAGTAATTAAGTTCGGTTTCCTCTATTAACTCAGAAGAGATTTTTTTTTTTTCTTATCGAATTGTTTCTCCATTCAGAAGGAGAGAAGCCTTGCGTAGCCAGGGTTCACCTCATAAATCACCTGGACAGATTGAACTTGGGGCAGAAGAAGACACAAAAGGAGAGGAGCTGTGATTCAGACTCCATGAACTCTGGTGGCTGTGTCCTGCTACAGGGATGTGCGTGGCATGAGCCAAACAGTGAGGGCCACCTGTCACCAAAAGCATCTTCACGGTGGAGGGAGCACCACGAGGTGACTTTGGTGGGTTCAGCAGTCAACGGAGTGTATTTAGATTGTGGCCCCACACTTTGATGCTGTTGTTTGCATAGAGCACTGCCGTTTTGTTTTCTCTCTGTCAGGCTTTTTCTGATGCTCCAGAATACAATGATATTTCTCAGGAGCTGCAGACAGGTTTTGGGGCAGTTTGGTGTCTTCTCAGCGCGCTCTCTCTCGCTTCACAGAACAAGGTATGTCACTTCCTGACGCCAACGCCGGCTCCTCTGCAGCTGCGTGGAAGGGCCACTTCAGAAACCAGCAACTCTTCAGCTTCCCAGGTATTTCACAGGCCTGTCACTGGTTAGAAAAAATCCTGTAGGAAAAGAGGAAGCAACTGCTTTTTTTTTTCCTAGTTATTAACGACATTTTGAAATGTAGATGTTTAGGATAGTTACCATTTCCTGACTTTTCAACTGAATTGCAGTCGTCAATGAAGCCCTGCTTCTCAAATGTGCCTCCCTTCACCAGCTCCCATTTAACAATATTGGTCTGTTATTGATAACTATTTCATTAAAAGATTAGAAAGACCTTCCTGGCCTTCACCCAGACTGTGCTACTAAGCCCCTTCTCCAATGTGCCTTCCTTCACCCTTAAATATCCTTTACATTAAGGCAGTATATGGTAGCTCCTATTTAACAATATTGGTCTGTTATTGGTAACTATTTCATTAAAAGATTAGAAGGACCTTCCTGGCCTTCACCCAGACTGTGCTATGATATGCATGTACATCATCATCTACTCGCTAATTAATGAGGCTATATAATAGAAGAAAGGGCTACCAGACAGCAGTCTGTGCCACAGGAATTCATGTGGAGTGCAGGTTCTGTGATGCCAGTGCTCAGGCTGCCTCTCTTCCTAACCCTTAGGAGCCCTGCAAAACTCTTCTGATTAGTTACTAACCCGCTCTTTGTTTGGTCTTCTGCCTAATTTAAACAATTCATCTCGTCTTTATTCAATACCAGGTTATTTTCTACTATTAGCTCTTTTAGAATGGCTTCAGTACTTATTGATTACAGTTCTGAAATAGTTGGGGGCCGAAGGGTTTCTTTTTGATTCAAGGGAGTGTTTGATGAAGACGTTTGCTGGCACCTGCAAACTCTGTCCTTGTTTCCTCTGCTCCTTCTTCCATCTTTACTTTAAGGACCCTTCACAACAATCTCGCCTCCCCTGGTTACGATGGGGCTTTCCTTCTGTGAGATTAGAGCTTCCTGTCGGTGCTTTGTCAGGGAAGCCTGATATCTTTCAGCTCAGTTGTTGCTTCATCTCCTCTGCTCTCCCAGGGGTCTCGCGAGCGCTTTCAGTTCTGCCTTACATTTTTGATTTTTGTGAGCTTCCCTACTATTTACATTTCTTCACGTATATCCTCTTCGTACCATCTGCTACCTTATGTTTTGCTCAGCTCTGAAATTTAGCAACCAGATTTCATGCCACGTCGTTCTACGTTATTTTCTTAAAATTTGATTAAAAGGTTCTGAAAGAACAAAGCAAATTAGAATTCACCCTCTCCGTGTAGACACCTTAACTGATGAGGGAACAACTCAATAAAGACCTTCAAATGCCTTGACACAAATGAATTTGTAACCAAAATTTTGTACTTTGTTTACGCAAAAGGTACGTTATCATATTAAGTAGGAGAGTTTTATTACTGACAGAAGTTAAGGTTATTATTAAAGAGTGGCATCCTCTCTGGAAACTCTTTTTTCTTTGGAATTCAGCAGTTTTTCTAAGCAGTATTTACTTTTGAGTGAGTGTGTGGCTGCGCCTTGTTAGATAAAAGCTGTGGTACTAAAACTGTGTTACTGAACTTAGCTCCTGACCTACCTTCAGAGGGCATGTCTACAAAGGGATGATACATCAATCTCGTTTGTTTGATCTAATTACAGCTATTTAACTATACTGAGCACAAGTACACTCACCCCACTTTGTTATGCTGATTTAAGGTATTTTCACTGTTAATGGGGTGCATGGTTCTTTCTTGTATTAATTTACGTCTGGAAATATTGTGGGCAGTTATCCCATGGAGGGCTGTTGTGCTACTCAGCTGTGTGGTTTTCTTTCACAGCGTGCTGACAGGGAGTTCTCAGCAATTTTTGAATACTGTGGGTCAACCCGACAAATTACTATTCTTTTTCTCTTGGCATCTGTTGATTTTTGCCTATGCCACTTCTTTTTCACGAGGTTGCTCGAAGAAGAAACTGGTACATCCATTACAACGCCTAGTTTTGCCTATGCCACTTCTTTTTCAACATGCCACGAGGTTGCTCGAAGAAGAAACTGGTACATCCATTACAACGCCTATTGCTGTGGGGTTGCACAGGATTGGTTGAAGGATTTCTGTGGCTTTGTGGAGCTTTTGCTGTTTTGATAAAGGAAGAAATGCACAAAGAGAAGCAGTAGGATGAAATCAACATGTTACTTCTGTGCAGGATTTATGGTGCAGTTTGCTCAATGGTGTGCTATTTCTGGGTGCTGGTGCAGAACTGGGATGGCCAGTAGCGGCAGCCAAACGTCAGGGTGCCAAAATTGCATTCCTAGAAACCTGTGCAGATCTTCACTGCAGAGGCAGAATACAAGGAGGTTGTAGAGAGGCAGGGGTCAGTCTCTTCCCAAGTCACAGGCGATGGGACAAGAGGAAATGGCCTCAAGTTGCACCAGGGGAGGTTCAGTTTGGATATTAGGAAAAATGTTTACACTGAAAGGGTTATTAAGCCTTGGAATGGGCTGCCCAGGGAAGTGGTTGAGGCACCATCCCTGGAGGTATCCAAAAGCCTGGTTGACACAGTGCTTAGAGCCATGGTTTAGTGATGGGTTTTGTCAGAGTTAGGTTGATGGTTGGACTCGATGATCTTAAAGGTCCCTTCCAACCTGGACAATTCTATGATTCTTTATAGAAACCCATTGCCATTTGTGGAAGAGCATCATTTCTGATGACTTCAGCCCATTGCCGTTTGTGGAAGAGCATCATTTCTGATGACTTCCAATGGAAAACATTTTGCCTCAGGGATATTGTGGTGGGATTATTATTTTTTTTAATGTCTGTATCTGCAGAAGGTGCTGATCTTCTGTATCACAAAGCTTGGCAATGCATGAGGAATTTCCTAAGAGTTTTTTTTTCCAGGTACAATCTGTAAATCAAATAAGGGCTATGGGGGTTCCTGGAATAAACACGGTGTGTTAAGCCAGGAGAAAGCATTTATGAACACAGAGAACAACTTCTTAATGGTTGTGTATGGCCTTGCTCATCAGTGTCGGTGATTGAAGGGGTGTAGAATGAGTGTAGGGTGACATTATGAAACTTCTTCAGAACAGACTCATTAGAAACTTGAGCTTGCCCTGATTTGTACAACGTGTGTAAGAGTCAGGGGAAGATACTGAAAGGTGGGTGGGTAGAAGCAAGGAATGGAAAGACACTTTCAGTGTTACAGAAGTCCAGGGAAAAACCTTCCTTAAAATGGCCATTTTTTACGGAAAAACTGCGCTATGATTTTATTAACAAGAGATAACAGAGCAAATTAATCAAAGAAAAAGTTTGACTTTATTAGCAATTACTGCAGGTGATGCTGCTGTGGACTGAGGTGGAGCTCAGTGAAGATCTTCAGCGAAAGTGTATCAAAGTAGTTAGACTTGGCAAAATAATATTAATAAATGAAGAAACATTTAATCTGAAATGCTTTGTAAACTTTAAACCCAGAGTGTGTGTGTATTTGTAGAAGTGATGCAATTGACACACTCCCTCATCTCTTCTGGAGCTGGAAGTTACAAGAAAGTCCTCCAAGTAACTTACTGAAATTGATAGCCCGAGACGGTGGCCCAGAATGGTGTGTTCTTCGTCTAAAAATCCACTTTTCTAATTGAAATATTCCTTTCTCACCAGTATTTTTGTCCCTGTATTTGCTGTAATAATAAAGATAGCTGTCACAGAGGCATCAGGAGGTCCTTAGGTCCTGTCCCAACTCTGAGACAAGAGAAAGATGCTTATCTGAATCCTATACAGTTATTGCTGTATTTTTTTTTTTAGTTTGTTTTTTGTTTTATTAAGCAAATCCATTACTTCCATTTATTCTTGAGGGTTAGATTCCCTCAGCCTCACAGCATTCTTGTTCCTCTCTTTGTGCTCTTTCCAGTTGTTTTGTATCTGGTTTTACTTTTTTATGTGGTACCTGAAAATGGATACAATATTCCAGCTGAGATTTCACCAGCACTGACTTGAGCAAGGTAATTGTCAGGGGTGTCCTACGTAAAGCAGCCTTATTAAATATTTCTGTCATGTATTACCTTTATTGTGTTGACTCAAATTTGGTTTGTGATCCATTATAACCACTGCCTTCGTTAGCGCAGTGCCGCTGCCCAGCCAGTTCCTGCCCTCCTTGGGCACACTCATGTCTGGATCCTTGGCTACAAAAAAACTCTACTGAAAATGTTGTATCTGAAAACAAGGGGGAGAAAAAGATCTGAGGAGGCTTTTCAAATGCACTGTTCTTGTGAACTCCAAGTGGGTCAGCTTGCCAATGGAAGAGGGATCGTGAGATAATTTTCAATGTTGGATGGAAATGATAATGTTTTATCTTATTATTACTCAGAAAGTGTTGATTTCCTTTCTAACATGGGCTGGAATAGGAATGGTTGCTTGCAAATGGGGAAAACAACATAGTCCTAGTACCTGAGTCTGAGATAATCATTTTCTTGCTAAAAGTTCTAACATGGGCTGGAATAGGAATGGTTGCTTGCAAATGGGGAAAACAACATAGTCCTAGTACCTGAGTCTGAGATAATCATTTTCTTGCTAACCTTTTTCACTCCTGCTATTCCCAAAATGAGCAGAACAACTTTGTTAATATCCCTCTTAAAAAATAATAGACATATAGTTGCTAGAGTTGTGACAAACCAAAGTTAAATCTGAAAGGCGTTTGAAGAAAGGAGAAAACAACAAGAGAAAAGTTATGGGATTCTGGTTTTGTCCAAAACATTGATGACGTGAAGATACAATTGATGGATGTGAGGTGTCCCCTTGGTCTTTTGTGCAGTTACCTGGTCAGAACTCTGAAAAAAAGAAAAAGAAATGAAGACTGAAGATGCTTTTTGGCTCCATACCCCTGCCTATTACTGTTTATAGAAACACGAAGAGGTGGCAGATAGAAGGAAGGAGTCTTCGACTGCATGGACCTCTGGGCCTTTGAAATTACGAAGAGCAATTCCAGTGGTCAAACAGTTAAGAACAGAAGATCCCAAGAAGGGCAGCCATGGTTTGTTTGCTGAAGAGAAGTGTTGCTAAAGCAGG